AACTGTGTTTTACAAGGGTTTTACAGATATAGAGGTACATTTATAATCACCTCCTAATTGCAATCCCTTCCGAACTGTATAAGTATAAACACTGTTTTGCAGATACATTTATGATCGGCTCCTGATTGGAATTCATTATAGAAATACCGTGGCATCTGTGTGTTCGAATTGTGTTTTGCAGATTTACTATGATCACGTATCATGAATCGAAATCTCGAAATCGATTTACAGAACACCGGACATGCATATAATAGATCCCGTAAATGAATCATAAAATGTTTCCTCATCGTAAATATGTTTATCCAAAACATGACAGTTATTACTGTCATTATCAATGTCATTTTAGACAAATAAACTAGCAATTAACACACTAGTGTGTGTTCATATGAAGTGGTACTCTATTTATTTATTACTATTACAAGCAGGATTCACATTGATATTGAAATCAAAGGAAAACGCTAACGGTGTATTCGAATTTGAAGTAATTGTGAAATTAGTCGGTTCATCGGAACCAGAACCTTGTATTTTTTCTGCAATTTGTATTTTGTTATGCACCGATTCTTCTAGGTATCCTTCTGCTCCGTGACGCTTCAAAGTAGTCGTGTTCTCTCCAAGTTCAAAAACTTTACAATTCTTGAAGGTATCTTCGACAACGTATTCATTCCCACACACTGGCTGGTACACCTCCCATTTTTGTGAAAACCAAAAAACGGCTAGAACTAGTATTCTTTAGTCTCAAAGACATGTATTTTTAACACAAATTGATCGGGTTGACTGAAAATCCTTCTTCGAGTATGGTGAAACTCCTCGATTTCTTGGTTTTAGTGTCTGGCAAAACTACGTGAAAATATTTTTCTTTGTCTTGAATATCTCTAATAGCACACAACGTCCTAGGGACGTCCCTATTTGGTACAATTCACGTCCGAATGTCCCGGACAAAGAATAAGTGTCCTTCGGACGTCCCATCCCGTACATCTCTTGCAATGTCCGAGCAAAGACGTCCACGGGATTACTCAGCTGGTACATCATTTCAAATGTCCTAGAAATAGCATCTCTCAGACGTCCCACGTGGTACATATTGTAGAATGTCCACGCAAGGACGTCCTTGGCATGTCCCTGATGGGATATGATTTTATACGTTCCTTTAGGGACACCCATCGGATGCCCCGAGAAGTACATATACTGGCATGACTTCAGATCTTATATAATGTCCCTTCTAGACAATCATGAAATGACCCTGATGGTACATTCCTTCAAATATCTCTGCACGTATAACAATCGAAATATCCCTTAGGGACGTCCTTCGAATGTCAGTCGGATGTCCCAATAGGTACATAAACTGTACTCTTCCAATGTCCTAGAAATAACGAGTCGGTACTTTCAAAATGTTGTCCCTGTGAGGACGTTAACTTACACCTCGCCGACGAATGATTGCTCGTAGGCTATAAGTACTCCCCTCGTCAATGTCCTTCACGTAAGTCCATTGGACATCCTTGGGAAACTTTTTGGGGACCTTCTACGGACCATCAACTCAAGTGAATGTCCTAATCAGTTATGCAAGATCTGGTCCTAAAGGGACCCAGACAAATTCAAATTCAAGAATAATTCGTACGTCCTTGGGACATCCTATGGACATCCAATTGATATTCCTCAGCGTTGCTGATAGGTTGTCCTTTGGATGTCCTAAGGACGTCCTCTGTAGTGCTTGATGAGGATTACTGTAGGATTAAGGTATTCGACAGTTGTCCCAGGGACGTCCCTCAAGGACGTCCCTAGTTGGTCCTCAAGTGGGACATTTGTGCGTCCCACAGACGACCAATGGACGTCCACGGTACCAGATTCGAACGTCCTATGAACGTCCTGAATGTCCCGACAGGACGTCCTAAGGATATCCATGGGACATAAGTGTGTTATAAGGGATTTTCTATTTTCTAATTGGCCAATATAAATATTTCTCGCGTGACTTATTTTCAACCTAACACACTAGTACCATAAATAAGAATTGTATGAAAGTCACCGTGTATACAAATTTGAATATCACATTTCCTATACCAAGACGCGGATATATCTTATCTTCACGCAGCGGTATATTATAAGAAATGGGCATTTTTGATTATACACTCTCAAGTTTTCATTAGCTTCGGGAAACTGTAATACGAGTGGACCATGAATTCGAAACTTCCACTTGCAATTCGTTGGACTATGATTGATGTGATGTCTGCCAGAAGACTCGTAATACAGAAACATCAATTATTCATCAATATTCTGAAATAACACTGATGTCATTTATCATTCAGATTACGATGTGGTGCGATGTGGATTCCAAAAATTGGTATGAATCAATAATCGACCATTTTATATCCATCCTAAATATTGATTTTATGTTGATTTCGGATTTTTTTTCATCAAAATACTCTCCAAATGGATTTCGATATTTTCATAATCTGAAATATTCAGAAGATGATATTCGAAATGTGACAAGGTTGAGCACGACAGCTGTTGATTGTTCATGAAGTTCTTCATTATCATATACAGGGTGGCTAAAAAGATTTATTTGTGATTCAGGAAAGTAAAAAGAGGTCTAGTTTTCCAGATGTATCACCCTGTATATCATTGCATTTTTCAATCCAACAGTGATTACCCGTCAATTTTCCTATATAAATATCTACAGCGTGTCTCAATTCAGACGCCCCACCCTCTGCATCTCAGCTAATAATATATCGCGATTCGTTCCTACCAAATTTGAATCGGTATAATCAGTTTTTCAGAAATGAACATTTTTTGAGTAGATGAACATCTATTTGGGCAGTGCCGTGCGTTTTTATGAAATAAAAAGGGCTCTATGTTTTATGAAATACTATCAGTTTTTTTTTACAGAAAAACCAACTGTATATAAACGTTCTCCATGCCCTCAAACCTCCATATGCGAAAAGTCACCTCAATCTGGATTAACAGGACTGACTTCATTTTCATGAACGTTTGCTTCGAAAAGATAGTGAATTCAAATTGAATACGTTCAATAGCTCTGGTAGGAAGTTGATCATGGTTCGAAAGAAAAAACTAAAAATACTTTTTCTTGTTGAACTCGCCGTTTCTCAGTAAATAATTATTTACGTTCGCAAATATGTTGTTTAGATGATCCTGTCCTTTTGAAAGTCTCTATGTGAATCATATGGAGATTCACATATTTACGTGGCTTTGGAACTATAAAGAGCAATATTATGTAGTCAGTTCTCCTGTAAAAAATTCCTTATATGATATCATAGAGAATTCACCCCTTTCCATTTCAATAACAATGCACAACAAAATGATGTTCGATTCATACCGATCCAAATTTGGTAAGAATCGCCAGGAATCGCACGACAATAAAAGCTGAGATATAGAGGGGAGGCGTTTGAAATGAGACAGGTTGAATACCAACCTGAAACCTTTTCAGAGATGAAAATCAATTTCAAAAACTGATCGAATCAAAATGTATCTGAATTTACTTCCGTATTTTCATATTGTGGAATAGTCAGAAAGTATATGATCTGAATAACAAAAGAGAAAATTCCAAGAGCTCTTGAGGATATTTGATATGAATTCCATCAGAATATATCTCCATGGAGATTCAGGTTTTTCCTGCTATTATTCGATATACGTGAGGAATTCAGGAAGAAAATCCTGATCTTGAAACTTAAAGTTAAAGTATTCCCAACAACATATAATCTCCAGAAGTTCAAAAAAAAATCCAATACCTACCTCCTATCCCTATCCTCCCTAGGAACGCACGATGTTCTCTGAACATTATAGGGATTCCCTTTCGTGCGCTCCAAGCGATAAAAAAAAAAAAAAAACAACCTAGTGGATAAATTCGTGATTTTCTTTTCATTCTTCCTACGCACGTATCATCTGTATGTGTTGATGAATGAAAATAAAATTCAACGGTTTCCGAAAGATTTTCCATGAATAACTTTTTTATAAACCTTTTACAAAGCACAGAATCCAACGGACGCACTGTATACAACCCCCAACAATTGGATAATATATACGGCGTTTCATTTGAAGAACGTCAGCGTCAATAATCAAACGAGTATCACTCTGTATATTATATTTTCCATTATAAATGTGACCAATTTCAGGAGATTCCTCAGAGTTGGATAGCTTGGCTAAGAATCAATTTGTTCAGTAAGTTACAAGAGTATATCACACTTTATAGTTTCATGGATCGTTTCGAAAAAAAAAACAATGGATTCAACGGAATAAAACATAACATATAAGTTTGTGTCGTTCCTACAAAACCCTGGACCCAACGAAAGACTGAGTACCTCCGCTAAAAGATTTGAACCAAAAAATTATCTTCCAATAGTTTTTGATGCATTAATATTTCTAATAACTTCAGAGATATTGAAGGGGACACCTGGAAATCTCAAATATATCGAAATGCATTGTACTTGGTCTTTCCATCGTGAGTTTCAAAGTGTTTAGCACATAATCAATGGTAAATAGATTCCAAATATATGTTGGTGGTTTTTGTGAGTTTCGTGTGATCATTAGCTACATGAGGAATAAATCAGTGTAACATCTGCAAAGAGATTAACTGAGCATTCAACTACCAACTCTGATGGCAAATCATCAATATACATAACAAATAATAGGGGACCTAGCACACTTCCCTGTGGAACCCCCTGATTACATTCTACAGGTTGAACTATGAATAGTAAACACCAAAATATGCTGACTTGAACCTGACATGCATTGTCGCAATGTTGCTGGTTTGAAAGGTGCAGAGTGCTCAAGAAGAAGATTTCATTTGTCTCAATAACTTTGTGAGTTTCAACAGCAAGAACATAAAATTACAAGTTTCAAATTTCCGGCACAAGAAATCCGAATTGGAAAGTTGATGTTTGTAATTGTTGATGAAGATCGCTGAGCACTCAGTCACTTTAGTCAATTACATCATTACTTCTTTTGCCCATTTAATGATGGTTAAAAGAATTCAAAGAATCTGCGATACTGACCGTTCTTTTTGTAGAAAATAACTTCCAACTTCAACTCGTTCTTCGATTCCAAAGACTTGTCGATCTGCGACTTGTGTTCTTCCTTCGTTTCCGGCCCGTAAAGGAACTTGCAAGCGCATCCCTTCTGCATGATTTGCGCCCTAGAGAACCCTGTCAGCTCGCAAAAGCCGTCCGAACAATAGACGATCGGGTACAGGGACGGCACTTGAGCGTTGCCAAGGACGAAGTTGCTATCTGAAATGAAGAATTTTACGATTTGAAAAAATAGTAAATGACATTAGGATTCAGGAAAATATTGTTCTTTTACACGAGTAGACGAAATTCTAGGACGAGCCGTATACAGTCTGTCCAAGATAAGGTTGAACAGCATGGGGATCTCGGAAACGGTAGGAGAAACGAAGTCGCTTAAATAGGAAAAAAATTGCGCATTCGGAGGCTCATATCAAGAGGCTTCGAAAATTTTGAAAATTATTTTTAGTTTTTGAGTTATATCGAAAAAAATGAACTTTTGGAATTTTTATTTTATTTTTTTCTCCGTTATCATTAGAGATACAGAAAAACTGAAAATACTTTTTCATAGCAACTTTTGATGACGTTTAACGTGGTGATACCGATTTTTTCATGCGACGTTTCGTATTCGTGGAACCATCATCAACTTTTGTTTTTTAAATACGGTCCTGATAATTTTTTCACAGAATCTGAAATATTTTTTCGAACTTCCAAAGGAAAAAAGCCATCAGTTCCACTTATTTCTGATCATTTAGTGTCAAACTTGATGGATTACCCTGATAACACAAGTTAGTCCAATGGACATCCATTGGATAGACTCGTCTGGACAATCTGGATATCCAATGGACAACTAGAATGCGTACACGGGACTGCATATGGACATCCATGGGACATTCACCTTTTTGGTCATCCATAGGAAGTCCCAAACGGACATCTAATGGATGTCTATACCGTACATCCATAGGACATTATCACTGTACATCCATTTTGGATATCTAGTATATATAAAATAATGTACATTTTTATAGGACGATCTGGTCAATAAATAGAATCTATGTTTCTGGTTATTACTTATAAATAATCTTCATAATATAAAATATAATATTAATGTAATATGTTATTGCTCTTATGGTAACTCCTTTCATCATTCCAGTTTGATACAGTTGATACAATAATCGATTTGAACTAATTTCTCAAGTTCACATTAATTTGCACTAAATATTATGTATAGATAGGCACTCAATTTCAAGTGAATACAAAATATTTCACTACATCATTCGATCAATGCAGCGTTTAAAATTGTTGATGAATTCTTGCACGAATTACTTTAACAACTTAACTTTGATAATACCTACAGAGACATTCATAACAAATGTTCAAAATGATAACCATCATTTCCTGAACAAAGATATCCTCTTCTCACAGTTGCTTCTGAGACATTGCTAAGCATTTCTGGGATTATTCCATTGAATGCTTCGAAGACCTGTCCCTTGGTTCTTCTTCATCATCAAAGTTATTTGCGTGTACAAAGTTCGATATATCCCTTAAGAAAAATTCCAGCTGTGTCAAATCAGGCGACCGCGCCGGCCAAGGGATAAGAACGCACGGACTTCTCTGGAATTATGTACCGGAGCGTCAACTTGTAGAAACCAACAGTTCTGAACTTCTGCAATCGGTAAATCATCCAGAGCTTCCTCAAAATGATTCTCAAGCGAATTTCTATAACGTTCGGAAGTCTGTGTTTCATGGTAGATAGAAGGAACAATAATTCGTGTACCAAATATTGCAACCCACATATTGAAGCCGAAACGGTGTTGGTGTCTCGCTGTAATGTATAAATGTTCATTTTCTCGTGAACAATGATGTGTATTTTTTCTATCGAAGCTACCATAATCAGTGACCATGCTTTTATCAGTCCAGATGATTGTTCGAAAGAAATCTGCAAAATTTTGACATTTCCTGCCAAACCACTCACAGAATGTTCTGCGCCTTTCGTCATCGCCTAGTTTCAGCGCTTGACATATATTCTGAATTTTTATGGACGGAATTTTTGTTTCCGCAAAATGAAATGGGTTGTTGATTGAAACCAGTTGATGAGGTATAGTGTGTTGACTAATTTTCCTTCGAAATAAGTGGAACTGATGGTATTTTTCTTTGGAATTTCGAAAAAACATTGATGATGGCTGAAAATAGGTCGAAACACACATAAACCACTTTGTATAATACTTGGTTGAATTCAAAATAAAAAACCTTTCAGAATCTGTGGAAAAATTATCAGGACCATATTTAAAAAACAAAAGTTGTAGATGGTTCCACGAATACTATGGAAAAGTATTCTCAGTTTTGCTGTATCTCTGATAATAACGGAGACTAAAAATAAAATAAATATTCCAAAAATTCACTTTTTTCGATATAACTCAAAAACTAAAAATGATTTTCAAAATTTTCGAAGGCTCTTGATATGAACCTCCGAATGCGCAACTTTTTCTCCATTTAACCGACTTCGTATCTCTCACCGTTTTCGAGATCCCCATGCTTTTCAACCTTATCTAGCTTGGACAGACTGTATATGCGAGTCCTGGAAGTCTGCAAGTTCTAGAAAACTGTTTTCGGACGTGTTGCGCTTTTGTCGGCAATCATTCAAAATATTAGATCAATGATCGAGACACATATGTCTTCATCTCATTTTTTTGTGGAATACAGTTTCGATCATTTCAATGCTCATTTTATCGACACTCAATAATAAACAAAGAGAGAAGTGGAAGAAGGGGTCAAGTAACATTTTCTGCTGCACTTCGAGTGCAGAGTGGACTTGAGAGCTTACTGTGTCACTACCACTAAACCACGCGCTCGGTAGGTACCTAGTTCTTGGACAACATAGGTCGGGAAATTCCATATAATATATAGTTTTATTGCTTTCTTGACAAGATACTTGTCTGGTTGGGAGACTCTGGCACGACAGGCAAAATTTCCAGTGTTCATCTAGCCTAGTTCATATAAAATAACAGTTGAGAAACCCAGAGAGAAGTCAAAAAATACCTGTTTTATTTACAAGGCATTTCAGTCGTGACCACAGCCATCCAAATTTGGCAACTTTGATGCAATGCTCAATAAGTGAAAAATGACTTGAGGAAACATTAGCAGGCTACCGGGTGTCCCAAGTTATCTCACTTATGTTACAAGATAAATGAAAAATTCGGAAGCTGCATTGCATGGCATTGAAGTACCTTCCTAATGACACATAAAAAATATCACTTTCGATAGTTCTCTGACAGCTATCCCTCACTTTATATTTTCAAATGACATAGGAATACAACGATAGCATATACTTGGTAGTTTGTTACTTTTATAACAACAAAAACAGCAACATTCAATATATGAATTTCAACTATAATATAACTAAAAATCACAGCAAGTGTTCAAAATTACTTCGACATGAGAAGCATCGGCTTTTAGAAACAAAAAAACTTGAGCGGAGGCATTTTTCATTTTCATAAGGATAATTGAAGTAACTTGAATCAAGTCACAAAATGTTGATATTTTTGTTGTTATCAATAAAAAATTCCAAGGATACACTATCGTTGTATTCCAAATCGAATAACATGAAAATATACAGGAGGTGCTATTTGAGAATAAAAAGTGGTGGATAGTTGCCAGAGAACTGTTGAATATATAATAAATGTTTTTATATGTCATTATAAAGGTCAATGCCATTCAATGCAGTTGGAGATGACATGTGGTGAGCCACAAGGTACTGTGCTGGGGCCACTGCTTTTCAATATCTACATTAACGATATAACATCTGTCATAGAAGAAGGAAAAGTATATTGCTTTGCTGATGATACTGTCATAATATTAGTTGGCTATACCTGGGAATCTACCGTTCGAAAGGCCGAAGTGGCAATCACTAAGATAAAAAGGTGGTTTGATTATAGCTCATTAACATCGAATGTTGATAAGACCAAAATCATAGCTTTTGGCCTATCCCAGAAAACTTTGCCAGGACTCCGCTCCTTAAAAATCCATGAGCATAAATGTAAAATCGAAACTACTTCTTGTGAATGTGAAAATATAATAGTGAGAAAGGAATATATTAAATATCTAGGCATATCACTTGATGAAAACTTGACATGGAAATTCCTATGTAACTATGTAACCAGTAAAATAAGAAAATTGATTTTCAAGTTTTATGAGCTAAGGCATATTTTGAATTCAGAAGTCTTAAAAATAGTATATTTGACAATAGTAGAATCTGTAATTTATTATGGGGCACTGCTCGAATGAATACAATGATGCCCTCTATATGTGGCACAAATGTATATAATAAAAATAATGTTGTATAAAAACAAAACTTCTCCCACAATTTTATTATTCAAAGATAGCAAATTATTAAATATTGAACAACTTTACCTGAAATCAACTACAAGATTTATGAAATGTATGATGTTTTACCACTGCACATCAGAAATAAGCCTCACAAACTAGTGAAATCACAACTAAATAAATGGATAATCGAAAGTGAATTGACATTAGATGATTTATGAAGCTGAAATGTATTCATAGGTTTTCTCTAATAACCTCTTCAGCAAATTAGTAGGTAATGTTGAATAGATATGTATATACAGGGTGAGGCATGACTAACTATAGCCATAGCCCAATGGCGGATAGAGGAGGTCGAGGTGAGTTGATATATATATAATAAAATATTTTTTGTCTATTCTTTACAGAAATACAGGGCATTATTTGAATTCGGGGCAAAACTCCAATGAACGATATTTCAGGAACGTCTCGATGTTATCGGCTGAAATTCACTAGCAACTTACCTGTAATGACACTCCACAGGATGACGTACTATGAATAAAAAATTCCAGATCCGGACTTGGAAAACTGCTTTTCTCTTTAGATGTCAAAATTTTGACCTTCTGGATCGGATTTTTCGAAAACTTCTATCAGAATCAAAAAGATCAGGAAAAATACTACAAGTATGGCTTTTTAATTCGTACGGCACACTTCGATCGTTTTGGTAAAAAAAATATCAAACAAAATACCGATGAATTTTTCTTCGATTTCGTCCGGGCACATCACTCTCTACATTCGACTAATAGTAATCAAATCAAATTTTTCCCTGGGAAGATTCAATAGCACACTTGAGAAGAAGGATAATTCAATGAAAAATTCAGGACCGGACTTGATTTTGGAAAATAACAATCATAATTTCCGAAAAA